TAAGTATGAGGGATACAAATGGGGATTCTATCTTCCAACTCTGTTGTCCCGTCCCCCACCCCACCCCACCCCCGCTTTGTTTATTAAGTCATGTTCTACCAGGAAGACGTGGTTTCCCTTCTCAACTGCTTCTCCACCTGTATCAGTGTGGGTCAGGCAGGCTTTCGCTTTCTGTCTGCAGATATTCTTTTCCTATCATTATTGTAATGGTCAAAGTGTCCAGGGTTTGGCCACTGGTGTCCTTTCAAGTGTCTTGTGTGTGCTTTTGGAAGGTCCCCATTGTTCTTGAGCATTTCATTGCTTTCCAGTCTAGAAATATGGCCAGATTCATCTTATATTTGTGCCAGTAGTTTAAGGTATTTATAGCATGTCTATAAGTAATACCAGCCTATAATTTTCTTTTTGTTTGTGCCAGTATCCGCATACAGAAACAGTATTTGTTTCTTATTGTTGCTGTAACAATACAACACTGCGGCTATAAGTGGCAATGTAATCCACGTTCTTATTCTCTTATATTTCTAGAGATGAAAGGTCTAGAATGAATCTTCCTTGACTCAAGACAAGGTGTTGGCAGGTCTGAATTCCTCCTGGAGCTTCAAAGACTGTGTATGTCTTTCCTGGTTTCTAGGCGGCCACCTGTGTTCCTTATTCACGGCCTCATCTTCATCGCCAGGAAAGTTTGCGTCTATTCTTCCTGTCTCTCCCTCCTTCTCTCTCTTATGTATTCTGGAGCCACATCTCCTCCTCTGACTCTCCTGTTTCTGCTTCACCATCTCACTTTCCCTTTGTTAGGACCTTTGTGGTTTTCTTGACCTCACTGGGATGTTGCTCCATCATCTTTGTAACTGTCATACTTGTCCAGTCCCTTTGACCACCTAAAGTGATAGCCACAGTTTCTGAAGAGTTGATGTGGACATCTCTGAAGGTGAAGGGGCCATTATTCTGTATTCCTTTGTTCCCACTGTTGTACTTGCTTCGTCATAAGTATTCAGATGTCATCTCTGAATTTCTGTTTTCTAGAACAGTCTATATAGCATCAGGGCTCTGGGGTTTGGCAACATTCTCCTGGGATGCCATATGGACCTGATGCTTCTTCACTGCATGGTTTAATAGCCTCTCCTTCTTTGATGGAGCTTGTTCTGTTTCAGCTTTCTAACTCTTCTAGTTCCGTTCCGGTAAGCTGCTTCCTGAGAATTATCTAGGCATTAGCATCCCTTGTCACCTGTATGAACAGAAGGTTGGGGTGCCATAAGAATTGAATAGTTGCACTGATGTCCTCCCCCACTGACTCTTCACATACCTTGAAATCCAGAAATCCATCTAGGAGGGACACAGTCTTAGCCTCCCTCATGCTGAATGTGAAGGACTGGCTACATGCCTTTATCCTCACTCATTTTACACAGCAAATGTTTTAACTTCTCCATGGAACCAAGGCCCTGAAGATGCCATGCAATATGAAATGTCCATTTGAAATGTGAAATAGCTCTTTGCCCTAAGGGGCAGAGAGTGTCGCTAGATCTAAAGAAATATAACTCAGTGGTCCAAAGTGGGATAACTTGGTTCCTATCCTTTAATGGTATTCTTGACCGTTTTCATCTACCACCAAAACTGTAAAGCCTGGTCCTGAGGGTCTCTTCCTGTCAGGATCCAATGAAGCCCCTTGGGTCCTGTGTAATCCACCTGTCAGCTGTGTGCAAGGCTTTCCGCCTGAGAAATCTTCCCCATGGCCATCTACAGCCTCTGGTTGGCAGACAGAACAGTTCTTGTCAGCACCATATGCCTGAGAGATGCAAAACAAATAGGTCTAAATTTGACCCATCTCTGCATTAGCAGTCCCTTCCCTGTCAACACACTCACATTATACACACAAGTGGCATCACAGGAAGGCACACCTGAAGGCCTCTTGCTGGTTTCAGTAACCCCATATGTTATTTACTTTTCTGTTGCTGTGATAGAAACACTGACCAAAGCAACGTATAGAAGGAAGTTTATTTGAGATTATGGTTCCAAGGGAATTACAGTCCATCATGGGGGAGGGGGGGTGAGGCATGGTGGAAGGAGGTGGCTGGAGCAGGAGCAGAAAGCAGAGCACTCACATCTTCAAGCAGGCACAGGACGCAAGAAAGCAACTTGAGATCCGGCAAGGCTTAAGAACTCTTTAAGCCCACCCCCAGTGACATGCTTCCTCCAGCATGGCCACACCTTCTAAGACTTCCCAAAACAGCACCACCAACTGGGGACAAAATGTCCAAATACTTGAAGCCTATGGGGGACATTGTCATTTGAACCACCACATTATTCTCACTTAATTTTAGTCCATTTGATCTGTCTTGGACCGAGGAGCTCCTATTAACATGTTTCTGTGCATTCCACCAGTCCACTTGCTCTGTCTCAGACTGAGGAGCCCCTAATATCACATTTCCATGCACTTCACTTTACATCCTCTAAAATCCCTTCTTCATAAAGATAACTATTTTTCTTCTTTGAAATTAGCAAAGGTTTTATTTCTTTCCAATTGGTTGCCTTTGTACCTAAAGCTTTTTTATATCCTTGGCCCATGTTTTCTTATTGAACTATATTTTTTCATTGGCCAGGCTTTGACTTTTTGTTTTCTTTGTTTTATGTGAGATTGCATCTTGCTGTGTAGCCCAGGCTGGCCTCAAGTTCATGATCCTCTGCCTCAGCCTCCCAAGTGCTGGTTATGGAGCCACCACACACTCAGTAGCTCACAAATTACTTTCAATGGCCTGTTTACCCCATGTCTGTGCTATAAACCGTCCTCAATGCACTCGTCCCCCCCTTCTACTCTACTTGTCCTTCCATTGTTAGCTGTGCTGCTTCTTTGTCCTTTGCGTACTTTTCTCATTCTTCATCTGTTTGCAGTGCCTGAATGAAGACTTGCCTCCTACCTCACCATCAGCCTCTGAGTGTTGAGATGGCAGCAGACCCTGCTGTGCCCTCATCTGCACTTATTTTACTTCTAGATCTGACAAAAATACTAAATTCCAGCATTTGTCTGAATTTTCTATGATGAGATGATTTCTTGACGAAAGGAGCTAATATGTGCGATTGTTTTTGTCTTCTTTGCTTTCAAACTGTTGTCCTATATAGCCTTGATGCCTGAAAGAAAGCTGGGCTGCTTCTAGGATGCTTGGTACAAGCTATAATTTCTGACCTAAGACAATTTCACACTCTCAGATGCTTGACTGATGTATCTAACCCTGTTAGCATCACTGTGTTGTGGTTTTCTTCACTTTTATGGTTGATTTTTGGCAGGGACATTGTCATTAGAGTGCATATTTTCGTTCTTGTTTCTTGTTTTGAGTAATTTTGTGTAGATTTCGTTTGTCTTTATTCCGTTGATTATTTCGATGTAAATACTCTAGTATTTACAAGATTCCTAGCTTAAGGCATTGTTTTCTATCAGTGTAACCCAATACTGTTACTATATGAGAAAGCCAGGTGTCCTCTGATTTCTTGTTTCTCTCTTTCTTGTAGAGCTTGAAATATCTCCACTTTTGCTTCCTTTACCCCCAGTTCCCCCCTCCCATCCTTTGTGTCCCTTCTCCCTGGAGCAGTGCCACATAAGGCTGAGTGCCTGCCTGTAATCCCTACTCTGGAGGTGGATGCAGGAGGAGCAGAAGTTCAAGATCATCTTCAGCTATAATGTCCCTTCTCCCTGGAGCAGCGCCTTGCGGAGACTGGTGACTTGTATCCCTTCTAGGTCCCTCCCTTGTTATCAGAGCCACAACTTATCAGGACTCTTGACAATATTTTACATTTGAGAATGACATTTCTTTCCAAGAAACTTCAAATCAACCTTGAGTTCTGTCTTCACTTCTTATTTCTCTTCCCTACCCCTGGGGCTGGTGGCCAAAGTATGGTACCCAACCCTGCTGGAATTTGCTAACTCTTTTTCAATCTACAGGTGATTTAAAGACTATGGACTTCTATATCCTGGTTACACTAAACCAGGAGAGTGACTTTTGTGTAGTTTTACTAGCTTTCCTTGTTGTTACATGTTGCTTTGTGAGTGGTTCACTTCACTAATCTAGCTCAGCATCTGAGGATACTGATATACTAAGGAAATGAAAGCTGGTCTGTTCCAAGCATCAGTACACTCAAACCCGAGCTTTTGTGTGTGAGAATATTGCCTACATGTACATAAGTGTACCCGTGTTGTGCATTACCCATGGAGGTCAGAAGAGGTTGTCAGATTCCCCTGAAACTGGAGTTACACACAACTGTTAGCCACCATGTGGGTTCTAGGAATCAAACCCGGGTCCTCTGCAAAAGCAGCCAGTGCTCTTAACTGCTGAGCCATCTCTCCAGCCCCTCAAATTTGTTTTTATATTGAGTATCAATAAAAATATTGAGCTAAGTATTGCTTATTACATTAAACTACTTTGCAGTTCATCATTTGTCAATTACCTAAGAAACCAATAAGCAGATATGGTTTTGTCACACAACTGTTGTCATATTAGACAGATGAGGGACTAAGACAAGGGGTAAATGCTCAGTCTTCCCAGGTGATAGAACAGTGCCATTTCCACACACATCAGCCATGCTCACATATAGATGTTCACACTTGTTTGGTCCCCCCCCCTTTTTTTAAAGATAGTGTTTCATGTATCCTAGGCTGGACTCCAACTCATTATAGCTGAAGATGATCTTGAACTTCTGCTCCTCCTGCATCCACCTCCAGAGCAGGGATTACAGGCAGGCGCTCAGCTTTATGTGGTGCTGGCCACTAAACCCAGGCCTTTGTCTGTGTTAGGCAAGTCCTCTATCAACTGAACTACAGCCTTCCCAAACCTCTTTTCTCCATTTTTATTGTCACTTAATCATCTTTGTATACAAAGCCCACTCCTGGACAATAAATACCAAGGGAGAATACTTTTCATTGTTACATTTCAGGTTGATTTGTAAAATAAAGTTGTTTGTCTAGTTGAGTCAGAAACATTTCTTTGCACTAATATGGCCCCTGCATGTCTTTTCAGAGGACAATTATGGGATGGATGGGAAGGTTAGTCCACCCAGCCTCGCTTCAGACACCACCTGGCAAGGCCTGGAGGCATTATCGGTGTGAACAACAACAGCATCTATGAGTACAGACACAACCCTAGACTTAGTCTGGTGGACTGGACTAATTACTTGAAGGATGTAGATAATTTGCACTGCTAAACAGTCACAATGAGCAAAATAAAGCAAGTCAGACTCACACTGCTCAAAGTGATGGGTTCCCGGTTACCTCTGCTGCACTCTTGGTGCCAGTGGAGATGGCCTCTGCGGAGTCAGGTGAAGACCCATGCCATGTGGTTGGGGATGCACCTCATTTGACCATGCCAGCCAACCTTCGAACCCTGCATTTGAACTGACCATCATTAAGTCCAGAGAGTAAACTTGAATGGAATAATGACGTTCCAGAAGTGAATCATTTGAATTCTGAACACTGGAGAAACAGTAAGACTGAAAAACCGATGGGGCATGAACAGGTCCATCATCCTGAAGGCAAAGTCAGTGGCAATAGCATGACGAGGCTGGTGCTCCAGTGCCACCACAGGCTGCAGCCCACCAGCCAGCATCTAAGAGAACTTCCCCAGGATGCAGGACCAAGAGAGGATGTTTGTGAAGATCAGCTGCATCCTCCTGAGCATTCTGACAGAACCTCTGTTCATTGAGTGTTCAATGCACCATGAGTGGAGCAACCTATTCATTCCAGCATCATGGAAAGGATGCTGTCCAGGAAGAAGAGTTACACAAAGGACAGGTACTGAGTCTAGAAAGCAGTGCCTCCCCTCCATTTGCCTCTGGTCAGATAAAACATTGCCTAAACACGAGAATTCTTTCTCAGTTTTTACTAGTAAAGTAATGCTGGCAATCACAACTAGCAACATTCGGATCTCTCCTGGGTACTTTTGTGCAGTAGAAATTCGTGTACCAGTTGAGCAGTCATGCTCACACAGGGATTCGTTGTTGTAATTCACTATTTTGCCAAGACTAGAAAGAAAGGTTGGGGGTATTTTCTGTTGTTTTGTTTTGGGTACTAAAACAGTATTATCTTTTGACTATTGTAGGGACATGGATATATAAAGTCTATCCAGTCAAAATGGCTAGAATTGTGCCTTTGTATGTTTCTAAAACTTACCACCCTTGGTGAATCTGTAAATACACGTTCCCTGCCTGCACAGTGACGTTTGGATTTGTTTCTAACCACTGGAATTTTTCAAGGTCATCATTTTTGGTTCAGTGATTTTTTTCACTTTGAGTTAGGAATGCCATGTCTGTTCGGTTAGTGTGTCCCCCTGCCCCCCAGGCTTATCAGAGTCACACTGTCATTAGCATGACAGTCTTAGACCCCCAGCAATGACACACAGTATGAACCACATATTGTTTTAACGTATGCTTTTGCCAGAAAACAGTGCATGTATTTTACCTCGACGTGCTAAAATTGATTAGCAGAAAGGCATGGTTCATAATGTTGGTGGTAAAAATAAATAATGAGTGAATAAATAAAGAAACAAAACAAAAGTTGCCTGTTCTCCCTGTGCTTAATATCACTAACTTTTGGTTACCTTCTTAACAGAAGAAACAAAAATAAAACCATTTTATTTTCATCTTTATTTTGTTTTCCTGGCCTGATTAATAAGCTTAAGTATTGAGAAACTCTGTGTAGTTGTGAATTTATACAAGAAAATTTTTAACAAACTACAATCATGTATGTTCTATAATTTAAACATACCACGAGGGAAGTTAACTTTATAAACATTGTTATTTGTGTGAATATTTTTGAACTGTCACCAAACCTTGATTTTTTTTTATAAAGCATAGTTTGAAATTGCTTTTGAAAATCTATATTCTTGAAAACATCCTTGTTTGTATTAGACTTTTAAATACCAGCAGAAGGCTTACCTCATTGAGAATTCTCAATATCCAATTCAACTTCCCAAGGTCTTTTATGTTTAGCTTAACAGTGATGTTCTTTTTTTCTTTTTAGATAATTCAAGCATTTAGATAAATTATGTTTGCTTTAAGTGTTTAAGGTAAAGTCTTTTCAAGAAAATTTAATGTGGTATAATTGACTCTTTGGTAACCCTAGGACTTTATCATAAACTCTGTACATATGTTAAAATTAATTAGCTGTTTATGTGGGTGTCATCTGCTGAGTGACAGAATAAACATATTTATGGTCATGAATGATGTGCTTTGTAAAGAGATTTCACAATATTAGGAAACATACTATGTTCTTTTTAATCCTGTGTAACACTCTGTGATACTTTTATAGAACAATTCTGGCTTCAGGAAAGCCTAGAAGCAATATTTCTTGAAATAAAAGGTGTTGAAACTTTACCTGTTTCAGAGAAGTGAACGTAAGCAAGCTTTTGTGGGATACACATTCCTTACAAGGCAGCTTGAGTCCTTACAGGACTAGGTGTTAGACATACTGGCCAAACTGCCCCTAAGTCAGCATGCTGAAGGCCATCCTTATGGTACTTAGTGTATTGCAGCACCGCTCTCAGGCAGAGGCTCACCTGAGCAACTGCTCACTAGGAAACTGCAAAGGGCCCAAAGTTCTGCCTTCACTATCCTGAAACACTGAGTAACTTTTGATCAAGGTCCCACACTGATGTTTCTCCGTGGCATTTTGCACATCCCTTAATTGGTGCTAAGTCAACACAGATGGAGTTTTCCAAAGCACATAGACCGACCCATCAAAGAAAGGTAGTTTCCTGTTTTAAGGGACTGTGAACTTTGATGTAAACTTGACCATCCACCAAGACCTCATGTTTTCTGATTGACAAACTCCAAATGCTTCCTTGTATGGAAAATCTCTTGAAATGTAGCCTCAGATAAGAGGCTGAGAATCTATGAATTGTCTAAATTGGAAATAAAGGGAAAGAAAGGAGAAAATAGCAAAGGATTCAAAGATTTGCCAATTGACCCTTGGTTAGTTAAAGAATCCACCATCCTATCAATAGAATAAACAAGGTGTGAGGTCACAGTGTTCAGGAATATGTCTTTGTGCCACACTTTTCAAAACACAAACACGTTAGTGGATTCTGTGTGCCATTTCCATTCACAAGTCCACTGTGCCTTGAGCACCTCTGCCCTTGCCCTCCCAGCACTCCCCCAGTCTCCTCTGCCCTTGCCCCCCAGCACTCCCCTAGTCTCATCTGCCCTTGCCCCCCCAGCACTCCCCCAGTCTCCCCTGCCCTTGCCCTCCCAGCACTCCCCCAGTCTCCTCTGCCCTTGCCCCCCCAGCACTCCCTCAGGCTCCTCTGCCCTTGCCCCCTGCAGCACTCCCCCAGTCTCCTCT